AAAACGAGGAACATGACATCGAGGCCATGATGATGGAGGAGTGGTACGATGAGTTACGTATGGACCTTCATCCCACAACGGTTACCGACGATCATCTCTACTGCGTCCCAACAACTATGCTGCCCGACCAATGTGTTTTGGTCTCAGCATCCGTGGACGAGGAAGATATCGCAGTGTCGGAAATGCTCGGGGACGAGCCTGAACCACAAGAGCCCTGTCTTATCTCTCTATGCTCGACTACACCTGACGAGGGCTATTCTCTTGACAGTGATGAACATGGTCCTTATGTTGAGTTATGTATCACTCCAGAAATGTCAAAGGCAGTGTTGGATCAGACCCAACTTGCACAGCTTTAAACTGACATGGTCGCAACGATGAGAGTATATGTATCATCGGCTGCTAAACGTGCTGCGGTAGTCAAGGAAGACGACCTACTCACCAAAGCCGATATAGCAGCACACCCTACAGAGGTTAGTGAGGCTTTGTACACCGAGCTCAAGATCTGGCTTGATAACTGGTGCTTTGAGATGTATGACTTATCTAAAGCTTCCAGCATCATGACATCCAGATATGTTTCTAAGTGGAAGTTTGTGAAGATAGGCACCGAGAACGTTAAAACTATCCGTCTCAGACTTGTCCTTCGCGGATTCATGGACACGGAGGCGTTTGATGTAGAAACCTTCTCAGGAACTGCTCGAAGACAGTCCCAGAGGCTCCTGGCAAGTGAGGCGGCATGTTATCCAGAATGGATCTTAGCATCTATGGATATCGACAAAGCGTTCCTCAAAGGTCTGACCTATGAGGAACTTGCTCATGCCACCGGCGAGGAAACTCGCATGGTTTGCTTCACCCTTCCACCAGGAAGCGCCCAGGTGCTTCGTACATTAAAAAGCTTCTCTTCTTACGATGAAAGCCGACGCTGCCTCAGGTGCCTCAAGCCAGGGACGGGTACACAGGACGCCCTATGAGCGTTCCCCCTCAAGCTTCGCACGACCACACGAGCTACAGGCCTCACACCGACAAGTTACGACCCTGAGTTTGAGCTCAGTCAAGATCTGTCAACGGCAAAACATGTCGACGATATCAACATGACAGGTCTAGAGAAAAACGTAGATGACTATGTACAACGTGTCGAAAAGGTGTTTCGTAAATGCAAGCTCAACAAACATTATTATACGAACTGCGCCGTTCGCTACACTAAGACTGAACAAGGGGATGCGATCATGGACCAGGACGAGTACATCAAACAACTACGCCCCATCACACACCCTGAACTTACGGGAGCGGCGGCCGACGCCAAAGCTACCAAATTCATCACCGACATGTTCGTTAGCCTGCGAGGAGCTCTCGCCTATCCCCTTCTTACTCAAGTCTGGCTTACGGCGTACGCGGTCTCTCTCCAGAAGATTCAAGAGCCCGCCAACTTACAAGTCAGACGACTGAATGCTGCGACGCGAAAGCTGATCAGCAGCCCGATACGCATCACCTTCCCTCGGATGAAACCGACGAACGAAGTAGACATACACAGTGATTCGGGGTATCGGAAGCTCACCGGGGAGGAAGACGATGAGACCAAGGGCTACGGCATCCGTGGGGCTAACGTACTACGGCGAGGAAACTCGCCTCAAGGCAAATCCGTCATCCACCTTTGCGACGGACTATGCAAATCACACCGACTGCAGGTGAGGTCCAGCTATGCCGCTGAGGCACTTGCAGCTGCACACAACCTTGATGAATGTTATCCCGCGCTCATCACTCTCCACGAGCTCAAGGCAGGGGCACTTACTCCACGACAACTACGAGAGATGCGTGAAGTTGGAGGCCTAGCTATTTAAGTATCCCTTACTATCGACGCTGAGTTTGTATACAAATCGCTATCCAGCAAAGATCTTAAGATACCGACGGAACGGACTTTGCTGGGACATATCAGCTGGATACGTGAGCTCATGGATATAGGTATAATGCATAACATACAGTGGTGTGATACTAGACACATGACCGCAGATGGGCATACAAAGGGGAGTATCGATCGGGAGCTGCTTGTGGAAGTGATGTCAGGCACTCAGTCATTTAAGTATGACGTGAAGCAGTTTGTTCCCTTTCGGGGTCCTGAGGACAGAAGTAAGCCTAAGCCAAATCAGTTTTAGTCTGTCCTTGTTGCCCCCGCGGTCCAGTTTGCCAGCACGGGCGCCTAATACAGAGGCGCCCTCCTAGTTGCTCGGGAACGAGCCTTACTTTTCACGCTTGGCAACGAGCCTGTTCAGATTGATTCAGGCTCTTTGCTTTAATACCCTTTTGCTTGGAGAGGTATAGCCTGTTTGGCTCACCTTTAGCCGGGCCGGTAGCCCTTTGATGTCCAAGGGGCTATCTTGCGTATGCGTGAAAAGGTTTTGCGAGGAAGCTCGCCTTACAGTCTGGTGTTAGGCCAGACTGTACGTATTGTTTTTCTTGCAAAAAGTTGTGCGCGCGGCCTTTTGTAGAGACTAACGGCTGCGCGGCTATACTCACCGCCTCCTCCCTTCCCGACTTTAAGGGTAGCTCTTTGGGAGATGTTATAGAGGATCGGGAGTATAGCTCGCGCGCCGTTGCCTTTTGCTCAAGGCACGCGCGCCCGATTTGCCCGGACACTGCGTGTGTTCGCTATGTGCTGGAAAGATCACTACATCGATATTATCCTATCTCATCCGTCCACTCCCCATACTGAACCAACACAGCATGGCATTGGACGCTATCTGCCATCCGCTTCCCATGGAATCGGATGCGATTTGGCTTACCATAGTCATTTCAGACTGCCTCAGGTTCTAGATAGGTCATGACATGCGATCGATCGGTTCGTACGCACACTGAGTGTCAGAGTACATATACTCACATGGCGGAGGAGCACCTGAAACATGCAGGTTTCTACGCTGCGCAGGCCTACGACGCATGGACACGCCAGGAGAAGCGCGAGAGAGGCGCATGCTAACCGTGTGTTTCCCATGTTTCGCTCGCGGGGCAGCCTCTTGCAGCTGCGAGCAGCGCGGGCAGGGGACGGAGCGAGGGCGAGGGCGAGAGCGAGAGGCGAGGGGCCGAGGAGGCGAGGCGGAGAGGTGCCCTCCCCGCGCGTCTCTGCCCAGCCCGGCCCTGCGAGAGCATGCCCGCCCTCCGCTTCGGGCGACCACCTCGGGCTCGGGCGGAGCCCTGGCTCCCGGGCCGCTCCGCGGATCCGGGTCGGGGGCCACGGGCGAGGCCCGGGCCCGCCGTGGCCAGGGGAGCTCCTTCGGGGTCCTCCCACGGCGCTCCTCGTGAGGAGCACGAGTCGGTCATTAGAAAGACCCGGGAGCCTCGCACGGCCTCGCACTGCCGTCTTTAGCGTGCGCTGGCGTGCGCTAGCGTTGGGTACTCGAGGAGAAGGCGCCGACTTGGCGTCGATGTAGCGTCGAGTCGCATCGATGAGCGTCGGTGAGCGTCGATTCGCAAGAGCCGGCAAGATGGCACGGGAGGCTCCCACGCGTTGCCGCCGAACACGATGGCTGTAGTCCTCTTCCACGCATGCACCACAGGGCTGACCCCTAAACGGTGCCTTGGCCATACCGTGCACCGTTTTTTGTGCTCCGTTCTGTTTTTTGCACTCCAGGCGAAGCGAAGGCAAATCGGGACAGAACGAAGCGCAACACGAGAACGAAAAACAACGCTCATAGGTTCAGCCCTGGTGCACCCTCGCCGTGCCCGGCCAAGGCCAGCGCAGGCCCCCCAAATGGCGCACGGGCCCCTCTGTCCCCGGCCGGCAGGGCGCGCGCACCCATGTGCCAGGGGGGGCCCCGGCCTTGCCCCGGCCGGGCCGGGCGGTGAGGTGCACGGTCGGGAACGATTTTCGGCGGCGGGCGAGGAGGGGGAAAGGTGAAAAGGAGGAAGGCCTTCTCAGAAGGCAGCGGGACTTCTCAGAAGCCCTCGCGCGCCCTCTGAGAAGCCTCTCCTGCCCTCGGGGAAGGCTCATGGAAGACTTCTCGGAAGGCCGGGGGACTTCCGAAGCTTCCGAGAAGGCATTCTCCTTCTCGCTTCCCCCCTCGCTCGCCGCCGAACATTGGCTCAGCGTGTCGCTCCGCTGGTCCTGGCCCACCACGTTTCGGCGCGGCACGCTCCCCACTCCCAGGAGGAGGGGGAGGAGGAGGAGGAGGAGCAGGAGCAGGAGCAGGAGCAGGAGCAGGAGGAGGAGGAGAGCCCCCAAGCGTCAACGTCCCGAGCCTTTCCGAGCTTCCCGACTGAACTGCCGAAGCCTTACCTGACAGATGGGACTTCTGTGAGGCAGCTTATGTCGGCAGGACGGCGCCTGACCCTTCTTTATAGTTCGCTTCATAGTGTAGCATGCGTGTTATGTTTGTTCATCTGTCTTCTCACAACTGCCCAGTGCCACGGCGCCAGCCTGCGATGCTCCCGCGGGCGACAGCTGCAGGTCCAGTGTCCGAGGTCCGCCTCGTGGTACGGAGCGACGCGCTGTCCGCTTGCACGGCGCAGCGTGTCGCCGCGGCCGCCGCCGCGACACGCTGTGCAAAAGCTCCTGACCGTGTGGCAGGTTCGTGTCGAGTCGACGCGGCGTCGACCCCGGCGCGGGCGTTCACGGTTGAACCCCGCTCGTGGCCCAGAATCAGCGCTGTCGAGTGATCCGCGCCATCGGAGAGCCGCGAACGTGCAAGGTCGAACGATCCATTCGGTGTCAGAAACCAACGCCCAAGTCATCGCGACCTTAGTTGCCTCGATACGCCCGTTTTGAAGCGCAACACGTCCCGTGTTCAAGACGTCCGTCTCAATACGTTGCGTGTTTGCTCCACGTATTGGACCACGTTTTGGCGAATGGATCGCGTCGGACCTACGTTTTCAGCTTACGTGTTGAGCTCCGTATCAATACGATACGTGTTGCGTCTCGCGGATCGGGGCAGCTAAGATCACGACACAACCCAGCAGTATGTACCCTCAGCGTGCACACCCATCCGGTCCCGCCACCTCTCGGTGCGGCCCGAGAGGCGTGGTCGGAGGCGGCCTTCACGGCGGGGGGGACGCGGACGCCGTCGGAAGCAGGCGGCGCGGCGGCATCAATGCAGGGCTTCTTCTCTCCAAGTTTCTGCAGGAGTGGCCTTTGCAGTGCACATCGGCGCGTGCGCGCACACGCGCACACGCGCAGGCACACGTTTTCTCCCTCCTTCGGCGATGTGCAGCACGATCGCGCCGCACGCCAACGGGAGACGCTGGCGTAAATTGCATTCGCGCAGAGGGCGAAGCGCTTGAACCAAGGTCGTGAGATTTCGAGTTCAGGCTTAATCGGGCCTGAACCCCCTACAGGAGGAATGTTCAACAATAGTCCAAAAATGGTTTGGGGAGGATTTGTTGACTATTTGTTGCATGTGTTTAAACATGTTTTGGCTATTATTATTTTTTCTCGTCCAAAATCCGCCTGTAGAAGAACAGGCCATACCGAAGTCTAGGGCGGGTCGCTGAAGAAGGAACCCTTTTCGTTGGGGAGGGGTTCCGTGTTCCTTAAGTGTTTCACAGCTTGCCTCAGGTGTTCCTTCTGTTTTCGATGGGGAATCGACGCTCAACTTATGGAGAGAAAAAAAAGGGCCTCGTTCCTTCTTTGGGGTTCCTTAGGTCAACGCCCCGACTGCAGGGCGCAGAGGCAGGTCGAGGCGCGCAGGCGCACATGCGTGAGCGCTGCGGCCACGCGCGCAGCGACGCGGCAGAGTCCGCCGGAGGAGCGCCCGGCAGTGCCGCCGAGGCCACCGGAGCTCCCCGGGCTCGTTCGCTCCGCCCAGCGAGGAGCACGGAGCGCGGGTGTCCTTCGGGGGGGCACACACGAGGAGGAGGAGGAGGAGGAGGAGGAGGAGGAGGAGGAGGAGGAGGAGGAGGCGGAGGCGGAGGCGGAGGCGGAGGAGGAGGGGGCACCCCTTCTCCGGCGGCGCGCCCCGGCGGCGCGCATGCGATGGCGGCTCCTGCCGCTGCTGTTGCTCCTGCAGCTGTCGTGGCTGTGTCCGGCCGCCTGGCGTGGGCGAGAGGCGTGGACGGGCTCATCGCCTGGGGGCCGGCATCCCGAGGCACGCTGGAGGGCATCATCGCCTACGCATGGGAGGCTCTCGAGCACACCGCGATATGCCGAGCCTGCCACGTGGGCTTCTTCGTGCGCTCCGGATCGCACTGCCCACAATGCGACCGGCGCCTCAGGTCCGTCCTCGACAGCCGCATCGACACCCTACGGCTCCGCCTCCGGTTCGTGCTGGAGGCCGCCTGGGTGCTCGCCGTCGAGCCTGACCGGCACTACGACCTCCGCATGCAGTTGGTGCGCGAGGCATTGGAGCCCTCTTCCGACGACAACGACGACCGCGCAGCCGGGGTGCTTGAACCCGCCATCCGGTTCATCCCCGGCGAGCCGCTGCCGCCGCTCTACACCGTGCTCGTCCGACGGCGCCTCGGGATCATCAACACCTACGACGGCGTCAAAGGCGACATCAGCCCGGACGATGACGATGACGACAGCGACCTCGACGAGCAGGCTGGACAAGCAGAACAGGTCGGAGGCCGCCATCACCGGTAACGGGGACGAGGAGGAGAACCAGGACAAGGAGTACATCGAGGTCGGCACGACCTACTCGCTCGCTGAGTTTATCGTCCCGGCCCCACCGATTGCCAAGCGGCCGCACGGGGAGCTCCTCAACAGGGAGGCGCCGCACATCATCATCCGCATGGTGGACGGGGCCAGGGGCGCGGCGCATGCCGGCATCCTGAGGCATGAAACGGGTTTTTTTTTATTTCAGTGCGCAGCTGTTTTTTGATGCCCGCACCTCCCTCCTCGCCCCCTCGCCCCCCGCCCCGGCTCTGGCATGACGCAGCTCGCGCATCGTTTAATAACTTTTCTCGCCCTCTGGAGGTTTATCCAGGTGGCGGCAATTTCAACATAAAGCCTTATCACAACTGTCAGGAGGTTTATCCGTGCAGTTCTACGGCCACGCCCGGAGATTTGTCCAGGCAATTTGTTCCAGTACATTTAAGCGTCCTCTGCCTCTCACCCCGACCTCGCTCTCCCCCCCCTCCGCCCGCAGCAGGCAGGACTGACGCCCATGAGTTTGTTTTTTTGTCTAGCCTCCGCGAATTCGGAGCGGACTGGCGCTCTCGTCCGCACTCTCCCCCTGCTTCTTCCCTTGGCGACTCTCTGCCCTCCCTTGCCCCCGCCTCCGCCCCCGTCCGACGACGCGACGCGACGTACCTGAGTAGCACGCTGGGGAACAGCGGCGCGACGCTGGGCAGCACGACGCCTTCGAACACAACGCTGAGCAGGACGACGGACACCAGCAACGTCAGCCCGAGGTCCCAGAGCCAGCCGCGCAGCGCGGCGAGCACCACGTATATGAGGCGCACGCCCAGGGCTGGCGGCGCCACGCGGGGCAGCACGATGGAGGCGAGCACCATGACGCTGAGCAGTACGACGGATTCCATCAGCACCAGGCCCAGGTCCGAGAGCAAGACACGCAGTGCTGCGAGTCCCACGCCCTACCCGACGCCCTGCCCCAGCACGATGCCCTGCCCGACGCCCCACCCCAGCCCGATGCCTTTCCCGAAGCTCCACCCCAGCCCGACGCCCTACCCGACGCCCTATCCCAACCCGACGCCATTCCTAACGCCCCGCCCCAGCCCGACGCCCTACCCGACGCCCTTTCCGAGCACGACGCCCTACCCGATGCTCCACCCTGGCACGACGCTGCGCCCGACGCTCCTCCCCTGCCCGACTCCGTCCCCGACGCCTTACCCCAGCCCGACGCCCTGCCCGACGCCCCACCCCAGCCCGATGCCTTATCCGACGCCGTGTCCCAGCCCGACGCCTTTCCCGACGCTCCACCCCAGCCCGACGCCCTACACGACGCCCTATCCCAACCCGACGCCATTTCCGACGCCCCACCCTAGCCCGACGCCCTACCCGACGCCCTTTCCGAGCACGACGCCCTACCCGATGCTCTACCCTAACACGACGCTGCGCCCGACGCCCCTCCCCTGCCCGACTCCGTCCCCGACGCCCTGCCCCAGCCCGACGCCCTGCCCGACGCCCCACCCCAGCCCGATGCCCTATCCGACGCCGTGTCCCAGCCCGACGCCTTCCCCGCCGATTAGCCCCAGAATGACGCCGAATCCGACGCTCCATCCCAGCCCGACGCCCCACCCAAGCCGGACGTCCTACCCGACGCCTTGCCCGAGCACGACGCCATACCCGACGACTCACCCCAGCATGAAGCCCCACCCGACGCCCCACCCAGACGGGCTGGACTTCCCGCCTCGCGGCCGCCAGGACGCTTTGCCCGCGCGGGCGCCGGGCTGTTCTTGGGCGTCTTCGTGGACTCGGGGAGACCTCCAAATCCGTGCGGGGCAAGTCGGTACCCCTTCCCTTGGGCATTCACGGGCCATGGTTTGTCAGGAGTCCCCAGACGGGTTTTCTCACGCGCTTACCTCTGCCGGGCCCTTCTCTCCCCAGTGCCCTCCCCGTCCTCCGTCCACCGCGCCCCATCCCCCTCCCTGTCCTGGCCTGCCTGCCTTCCCGCCAGGCCCACCCTCCAACCCACACACCGTTCCTAAGATCGGACCCCCCACTATTTCTGTTCCCATTAGGTTTGCCCCGGATTCCTCGGCCCAGGAGCCTGCCCGCCCCTCGCACGAGCTCGCGAATGAGGAGTGCACGAACGGGACCATCCCCTGGCTCCACACCGGCCTCGCCTCGAACCTCAGCGGCAACACCAGGGCGGCCGCCGGTTACCACAGGTTCGTGCAGGACCACGACCACAGGCACCGGAACACCCAGGAACGCGACGGGTTCGGCGAGTGTCAGCTGAACGCGCGGTGCCACGCTGAGCGTAGCGTTGATCACCACAGGTTCGTGCAGGAGCCTGGCCACAAGCACCAGCACATCCAGGAGCACGACGAGCCTGACAAGCACCAGCGGGACCAGCGGCACGGCGCTGACGGGTGCTCATCCTTTTCCTCCCCCTCCTGTTCCTTCCCTGCCTCTTCCTCCTCCTGCTCCTCCTCCTCCTCCTCCTCCTCCTCCTCCTCTGCCCCCTCTCTCACCTGCTGGTCGTCGTCGTCGTCGCCGTCGCCGTCGCCGTCGCCGTCGTCGCCGTCGTCGCCCCTTTCTTCACCCCATCGGAGTCGGGAGGCAGGCCTCGCGTCAATTTCGCGGCCCACCACGACGGGGAGGAGCACGATGACACCGAGCAGGGGGACGGGAATCAGCGGTACCAGCCTCTCGTCCACGAGTGGGGCACGCAGTGCAGCGAGGATCACGCGTCCGAGCACCACTCCTGGGACAAGCAGCGCAACGCGGAACAGTACGATGGAGCCGAGCGTGACGACACCCAGCTTTTCGACGGGGACCAGCAGCGCTACGAGTTCCTCCATTGGCGCGACGAGCGAGGCCGGGAGCAGCGCGTCCAGGACCAGCGGCAAGGAGGACGACGAGGCAGAGGATGAGGCTGAGGAGATTGAGGAGGATGAGGCTGAGGAGATTGAGGAGCAGCTCGGCCACGAGTGCGACGAGCAGTGCAGCAACGACCACCTCGTTCAGCACCACGTCCGGGACCAGCACCGCATCGCAGAGCAGTACGACGGTGACGAGCACGACGACGTCGAGCAGCACGGTGGCAGCCAACGGCACCTTCAGCCCGCCCAACAGTGCGACGCGCAGTGCAACGAGCGCCGTGTCTTTCAGCACCATGTCCGAGACCAGCAGCACAACGCTGAGCAGCGCAACGGAGGTGAGGACGCTGACGTTGAGCAGCACACATGCAGCCCGACGAGCGCTACGACTGCCAGACCGACGCCGACGCTCTAATTACGCGGCACCCCGCCCGACGCTCTGCCCGTCGCCCTGCCCGACGCCCCACCCGACGCTCTACGCGACACCTCACCCGGCGCCCAGCCCAACGCCCTCCCCGACGCCCGACCCGTCTCCCAGCCCGATGCCCTACCCGACGCCCTTCCCGACGCCCTTCCCGACGCCCTACCCGATGCCCTGCCCGACGCCTTACCCGACACCCTACCCGACGCCCTGCCCAACGCCCTACCCGACGCTCTGCCCGACAGCTTACCCGACGCGTTGCCCGACGCCCTACCCAACGCCCTACCCAACGCCCTACCCAACGCCCTACCCAACGCCCTACCCGACGCCCAACCACTCGACGCTCTGCCCGACGCATGAAACCCTCGGAGGGCCGAAAGCCCGCCGAATCATCCAGTCTGGAGCTGAAAAAGATCACGCTTAAAAACCACCAGGCCCCCTTTGCGCCTGAAGCCCCCGACGACCTACTTGACGCCCCTCCCGACGCCCCTCCTGCCGCCAGCAACCAGCAGCAGCAGCTGGACGAGGATTGAGGAGGAGCACAGTGACGCCATCGGCCTTGCCGCCTGGGCAGCCCCAGCACCTCAGGCTTTACGATTGTTCTGGCACGCACGCCGCCGCGGCGGAGCCGGCATTCTCCTTCTCCTCCACGCCTTCCTCTCGGAGATTTGGAGCGGCACGAACCCTGGCCTCGCGGTTGTTGTGGGCGACGCTCTCTGGCTGCTCGCCCTGATGGCCCTCATCACGGTGGAGGTGCTGATGCGGGCGCGGGCGGCCGTCGACGCTTGCCTCGCTAGGGGCTGGGCCGCGGCAGCCAGGATTGACGCGCGCCAGTTCCGGAGCCGCATCCGGATGTACGGCCGAGCAGCGGCCTACCTCGGACTGAGCCTCGCCGTCGCCGCCTCCGTGGGTGCGATGGCGGCAGGCCTGGTCCACGCCCAGGCTTGCGCAGCAGCGCCTGTTCCGTCAGCTGCCCCGGCCGCCTGGGCCATCAGCTGGAGCGCCCTGGAATTCGACGCGACTCTTGGCTATCCCGGCGAGGGCCCTCCAGCTGCGGGTCCCCAGAACATGGACGTCGATCAGGGGGCTCGGAGGGGACTCAACTGGGTCCTGACGCTGCAGGGCAACGGCCGCCGGGCACACTGCCACACCTGTAAGGAGGAGTTTGCGCTTGGCGAGCCGCGTCTGCAGACACAAGGGGCCTCCCGATTATGCCACTGGCACTGCGCGGGGAAGCGTTGGCGACCCACGGCCACGCTGGAAGGCTCCCGTACCACCCCGCAAGCTGAGGTTGATCGTGTACGCGAGTTGCTGGGGGAGGCTTCTATGCAGCAAGACGGGGAGGACATCTTCCAAGCGGAAGGCGCCCAGGTCGGTCCAGTGGGCCCTGGACCCGCGCTGCACGATCCAGAAGACCCCCTTGGTGCATCCCAGCTCCTGCACATGGCGTGGTGGGACACAGTGGACGTGCCAAACAGTCTCGGACACATGGTCGCCACCACGCGCCGCGTCCCAGCTGGACTGCAAGCTGCTTGGGCCGAGGCCCTGGGTAAAGCTCTGAGGGAGAGTGTGGGTGGGCAGACCGCCCAGGACCGGGAGCGTGCTTGGAAACTTGTCATGTTCGCACCTCTTATAATATTTGTTGCCACTGGAGCCCGGGGTGGGCGCGGGGCCAATGGCAAAAGGGCCAAACACATCAAGAATGACATTGTTGAGCGCCTGCATGCATTTTGGCGCGGGGAGTGGCAAGAGCTGTGGGAAGCCGCTCACAGGCGTGAGTTGCGAGTGGGCGCTGCTACTGCCGTGGACGTGACGAGCAGGGTCCGCCGCGTCAACACGCTACTCGAAGACGGGCAGGCGGCAGGGGCAGTGGCAACGCTCCGGAGGTCCGGCCAGACAGCTGCCGGCCCAGGCGTCCACGATCGGCTCCGCGCTCTCTTCCCCGAGGCTGACACTTGGGACGCGGCGCAGGACGACGCGACGGCGACTCCGCTCGCAGCGGAGACTCGTCAGCAGCTCGGGGACGCCATCGCCGCAGCCTTCAGGAAGGCCAAGGGCGGCCGCGCGCCAGGTCTGGACAGCAGCCGCAATGAGCATTGGCGCGTGCTGGCTGCCGACACCGAAGCGGTCGACGCGTTGGTGGAGGCCGCCCTGGCCTGGGTGGAGGGCTCCGCGCCGCCAGTCGTGGACGAGTGGCTGCGCACAGGGGCCATCGCGGCGCTCCACAAAGCCAGCGGCGGCGTCCGCCCGCTCACGGTCCTTGCGCCATTCCGCCGGATCGTCCTGACCGGGTTCGTGGACCACACCAAGGCCGCCACGCGGGCCGCGGCAGGCTCGTGCCAGTATGGTCTTGGGGTGCCTGGCGGCGCAGATGTTCAGTTCAAGGCGCTGCAAGCAGCTGTGCGCGATAGGCCGGGCAGCGTGCTGGTGGCGTTGGACGTGTCCAACGCGTTCGGCACGCTTGCGCGCTGGGGAGTTATCGCATCCTTGCGAGGGGCACTCCCTGAGTGCGGAAGCCTGCTTGCGAGACTGCGCCAGGCCTGTGGCGCGACGGCACTGGTGACACGCGTGGGCTGCGCACCGGCGCCGGGGTGCCACAGGGGTGCCCGCTGAGCCCGGCAGCGTTTGCGGCCGCATTGCACCAACTGGCGCTACAGCACTTCTCTGCCAGACCGCAGTGGCTCGTCACCGCCTACCTGGACGACGTCGTTGCCGTGGTGCCGAGCGCAGAGGCAGAAGAGTACCTGCGACAGTTGTCTGGGCTGCTGGGCCCTGGCGGTCTTGTGCTGGACCCAAGCAAGACGAAGAAGGTGCGGCTGCCCCCTGGCGCTGCGCACTGCCCACCCTCCCTCCGGCAGTACGTGAAGGGCGAGCTCCAGGTGGTGGGCTGCAGTCTGACGCGCCGACAGGACGACGACTGGGGCGCCCTGGCCGCGGGAGCTGGAGGCGGGGCGCGCGCCATGGGCGCCGCCACCGAGACGCTCCGGGCTTTCGGGCAGACGCTCCGGGAGGCGAGGGCCGCAGGACTGGGGCCACAAGAGGCAACGGCGATGCTGAGGTGGACAGCCCAAGGCGTACCGAACCACCTCCTTCGCGCGCACCTGCCGGACCTGGTGGCCGTCCGGGCCTATGACACGGTGCTTCGCGGCCTCTGGAATGACGCCCTGGGCGTTGACATGTCCGATCGGGAGTGGGCGCAGTCCTGTTTGCCCCTCCGGGATGGCGGTCTCGCGGCCGGCGCGGCCGAGCCTCGGCGGGAGGCGGCGCACATCGCCGCGTGGCTCGACGCCGCCCCGCGGGTTGCGGCGGCGCTTGGGGCCCCCAGCGCCGAGGCTCTCCTCGCCGCGCGCGCTGCGGGCGCGCAGGGATTTGAAGCCGCTGTGGCGACGTACAACGCTTCGGTCGGCGCTGCCCACTGCCTACAGACGTCGCTGGCCCAGGGAGAGCGCCACCGACAGAAGGACCCGGTGGGCCCGCGGATGGAAGTGATCGCAGGCGTC